ACTTCAGTCTGTTTCAACCTATCCAGAACCTGCCTGCCACCAGCTCCCAGGTCAAGACACTGACAGCATCTCCTGCACACATCTGGGGTAGCAATATATAATTGAATATCATCAATGTATTTATGATATTGCACCCTGAATTGACTACCTTTCCCAATACAGGTAGCCCTCAGTTTATAACGGCATTTGGGTCGGAATTGCCATTGCCAACTGACATGACTATAAAGGACATCACATGACTGTGTTGCTTAGCAACAGTAGTTCTGGTTGCTCTCATTAAGCAAGGACCATGTGGGTCATTAAGTGAGGACCTCACATCACTGCAACATCCAACTTCCTGCCGGCTTCCCCATTTACTTTGCTTGTGGGAAGCCAGCAAGGAATGTCAGAAATTGCGATCATGTGACTGCAGGGGCATTGCAATAGCCAGAACTCCAAGGACTGGTTGTAACTACTACTCACTGAGTGCCTTCGCAAGTTTGAATGATTGCTGAATGAGTGGTCATTAAACGAGGACCACCTGTAGCTTCCTGTAAACATTAAAGAACAAGGGATAAAGAACCAATTTTGGGGGCAATCCACAAGGGAGCAATCACCAGGTCAATCTCTCATTCCATGTCACCACTGACTGGATTCACCCACTAAGGAGTGGAATCACAGCAAAACAGGGCCTCCAGTCCTTGCAGATGGTCCAGAACAATACCATGGTCAGTGGAACTAAATGCCACCAAGAAGTCTAAGGGAGCCAGGAGGGATGTATTACCCTCCATCCCAATCCTGATAAAGGCTACTGACAGAGCAACAAATGGTATTTCTGTCCCATGCCCAGGTCTAAACCCTGGCTGAAAAGGATCCAAAAAATCTAGGGTTCTCTGGAGAATATACTGCCCACTGTCTCAATAACCTTCTCCCAAATGGAAAGGTTAGAAACAGCATGATAATTATTAAATTCAGATGGATCCAAGGAAGATTTCTTGAGAAGGGGGTACACTACAGCTTCTTTCAACACTGCATCACTTCCTTTCGAAGAGGTGCACTGACAACTTCCCAATATGTCACACACCCTGGTACCCCAAAAAACCCAGCCTGCTTTAAAATCAACAAAATCTAGAAGCTGGGATATGGGCTCCAAAAATGAATTATTTCCACATCAAAAAGACAATGCATTGAACCTCTGAAATATAAGGAACAACCATAAGACATCAGAAAAATATATTCTGGAGTGATTTGATAATGACCTGTAATATTACCATGTCCTGGGATCACTACTTAACATAGTTATCTGACATGGGCACACAAAATCCACCAATGGTCTGGGTTAAACCATTCTATTTTTCTCCCAGACTGGCAAAACTGGTGAGCTCCCAGAGAAACTGAACCAGGAAACATCAGAATGTTTCATCCCCAGAACGGTAAGTTTTGTACACAAATACTATCCAAGTCTGCTATTAAGGCAGACAATGCACAAAAATTAAAATGTACATATATATGTTAATTAATTAGATCTACTTGTTACTATTTTGCATGGTACGTATGGCTAATATGAACATATTGAAATACAGTATCACGTTATTTTGGAAGTTATATACAGTCGTACCTCGAGTTATGAATTTAATCCGTTCCGTGACTCTGGTTGCAACTCGAATTGGTCGCAACACGAGGCAA